GAAGCAGGTCGAAGCATTTATTGACGGAAGACAGCACGATGACACCATCACTCACAACGCAGTTTCGATCGTCCTGGCATACCGGTACATCATTTCCATATCTTCTTTACGGGTATATCGACCACATTCCTTTATCAAAAAACAAAATGCTCGCCTGTCCAAAATGCACCATCGAGAACCCTCTCGATGTGACGCACTGCGTGTGCTGTAATGCGACGCTGCCGCCCGACGCTCGCATCCGCAAGCTTTTACATCAAGTGCATTCGCTCACATTAGAGCTGCACGACGCGCGTGCCACCCTCGCGTCTCTGGCGCCGCGTCTGGATCCGCCGGCCGCACCACCAGCGCCTCGAGCGCCGCCAACGACCGTAGTCAATTTGAACGCGCAGAGCCTGCGGCGCATGGGCTACCGTAGCCTGGACGCGTGGCTGGCCGCGTCGCCATACCACAAGTATGTGGGCCGTGGCATGGCAGCACGCAACGGCAAGCCCACCATCGCAGGCAGTCTCTGGGGCAATCCATTCAAGATTGGCCGCGACGGTACCCGAGACGAAGTCGTCCGACAGTACCGGGACCATATAAGAGACAAGATCGCGCGCGGCGACGTCGACTTGAGCGATGTGCGCGGCAAGGTGCTTGGGTGCTGGTGCAAGCCAGAAGGTTGCCACGGTGACGTCCTCGCCGAGCTAGCCGATGCGTCGAATGAATGAAATGCACCTTGTCTTCTTTGAGAATAGACCGTTTCCTAGTATAGAATAAAGTTGTCTACAAAAGGCCGAGCGAGCGCAGTCCTATTCTATTGTGAGCGGGCTTTGCAACTTGAAGTTCGTACCCGGTCGACCAGACAATTCTCTGCGGATGAACGGGAATGTGTGTGGACAGCAGACACGTGGCGTTCCAAGAACGTTCCCACTCGGAATGTTGATCGACATGCGGTTTCTTCGTGCTGTGTGGTCGCCGTGTCGAGTCTCAGAGCGGTCTACAGGTTGACGCCTTGACGACAGAGCCGGACGATGCTCCTTTGCACGTCTTTGTCGTCTAGAACACCCGACACATACACGTCACTGCAAGAAGCGCGTAACGCAGTTCGAATCCATTTGTGCTACGTTTTGAACGTTGGCATTTTCTGTTGTATGCTCCTCTGCAACTTGGGACCGTTGACAGCCAACAGTGGGTTTATAGGAGGAACGGAATCCGTGTTAAATAATAAGAGGTGTCGTGGTATGCGGCGATGGTTTAAATAATTTTGGCGCGCGCCATCGGGGTGGCTTCCACCGGGTCGGCGAGGCACGTCGGCGGGCTCAGAAACACGCGGAGCAATTCGGACATGCGTGCAGTGTCGCGGTCCGACGCCGTGCGCTGCATGTAGCGAAGCAAATTGACGAGGTAGTGCTCCAAGTTGCCGCACATGCCCTTGATGACGAGCATATCACGGCGGCCAAAGAGGTGCTCGCGCGGCAGCGGGAAATGCACGAGCGCGTCTGTAAACGCAGCATTGTTGTCGGCGGCCGCCAGAAGCGCTTCGTGCAGCTGGCGAAAGTCGGCCATTGTGTGGTGGACGATCCAGCGGTGCGTGGCCGTCGCGACGCGGACATGGTACACGATGTCGACCTTGTGAAAAAAGAGGAATTTCTTCGAGTTGGTTTGGACGACGCGGCTGCCGTTGATGCAGCACTTCCATTGCGGCCAGGCGGCGAGGACGGTGCTGTAGTCGTCGAGGCTCGTGGCGCTCGTGAGCTTCTTTACCGAAGGGGCAGTGGCTTGCATCGAGTTGAAATGGAAAATGAGGTGTGTGGGTCAAGCTCCTCGGCTGTGATTGGCGCGTGCGTATCACAGCATGGTGTCGGGGCTATTACACGTGGTGGGGAGTGTCCAACACCATGGCCGTACACGGTTTTTCCGGCCCAACGATTCAGTAGCGATCTGAGTGATGCAAATGCATATTTGAGCATTGAATGTTTGTATGCCAATACAAACATAGAGTACATATATGCATGGTTGGTACATATTGAACGACGGATTCAAAAATCGCGAAAACGCGGACCGCTGACATAACACTTGAACTTTGTATTAGGCGCTAACCAGACTCGTGGCGCCCGTCTTTGGGATGTGCCCGTCAGTTCCACATCGTTTTTCTAGTGTTGACCAGAGTGGGCATGCACCCATCGGACGAAAGGTCCCTGGCGCCAGTCTGGGACACAGCAGCAACAAGGAGGGCAGCCATGCGACCCATTACCGGTACACTGCTAGCACACGAGCACTCGTCAGGTGCCCGCATAGCAGTAGCGCCGCTGGACGAATCGCAATTTGGTATCTTTGCAAGGATCCAGCGAATACGATTTCAATTTTTTGAAATTGCCAGAATAGATCGTGCAAAGCGGAGGAATCGCGATCTGAAAAAACACCTGAAAATGCATTTTGGGACGGGCGTGGTCGCCGCACCTGCACGAGGCAGCTGCACGAGGCGTGAACCAGCGTGCGTAAGCATTTGGATACATGTCGTGTGGTTCGTGTGGCCAACGACAACGCCACGTCAACATGGCCGTCAACAGCGTCTTTACAACTATTATACAGTGTATAAACGCTGCTAGCGATGCAGCTGCATCCCGGACACTCGTTTCTCGATCCGGCAAAAACGATGAACGAGAACGGACTGCATTTTCTGCCAAGATTTCTCCGCAGATGTGATGTCTCCAGCGCTGGATATGAGCGTGTCCTGTGTATCTTCATGCCAAAGTGCGCTCTGCACTTCGTCCATCACGACACATGGGTAGACCGGCACTAAGAGCCGGCAAGAACGTTTGCCTTGGACGAGTCCATCCATCGCAACGTCTGCCATTCTGAGCCGGCCGACCTCCCACTGCCAAGTCCATGGACGACTGCCGTCAAGGCGGCGCGTGTCGCTCAAATGCACTTGCACCACAGCCTCGTTCAAAATCCCAGGGCAGATTGCTCTCCGTAGTCTTCTCCGGCTCCTCGCTCAACACGAGTGGCCGCGCCAGCACCTTGTCCCGCGGATCGCACTCCTGCCTCCGCCGGCCTAGATCAAGATCAACACCAGCGCCGACTCAACGAAGAGAGTCCGACCATTTTATTTAGCGTAAATTTACTAGATTTCCTATTTTAATAGACAACCAACAACAACAACGTCTGCCAGCACCGAGATCCAGCAAGAGTGGGCAGGACGAAAATGCCGCTGCAACAGCAGCATGCGGTCGGCCGTTCTTTTCTGAGCTTGCAAGCGGTCCTCTCGAGCGTCGTTTCGCTTCCGCCTCTCGGAAATACGAGTTGGTGTGGAATGGCTACTCGCTCAACAAAGGGTATGGTGTGCTCGCCGAACGACCGCGGTGTTGGCCGACAGACTCTAGCGGCCGTGCAGTTTTTGAAGTACTCGTAACCTCATTTCAGCACTACTTTCGGACAGCGCTATCCACATCGACGCAAAGAAAGCTGGTGATGTGTTCTCGATTCGTGCCCTTTCACGAAGAGACTCCACCAAGAGGCGCGACCTTCTGTGGACCAATACCGCGACTCTTCATGCGCCGCTTTCGACATTCGATCAAAGTCCTCAGCTCCGTAAGCTGATATTCACTTTGGTTTTTCACACCGACTGTCAACAAGCACCTCGCTCGACAAGAGTGAGCATAATGATGCTGAGGACGCTAGTTGGAGCCAAGGTCGCGGACCTACGGAGCAGAGAACGGTTTTCTTCTGAAGCACATGGTCAACAGGTTTCTTTGACGCAACTCAGACCGCGTTGCAGTGCATGAGGGAACAGGCGGCCCAATCATGTGTCGACGACCAACAGTCCGACGCCGGCAAGATCGCAAGAGACAGAGTTCAACCTCACGCCCCAAATGACACCGAATCTCCATCACTTTTGTAGTTATTTCAGGAATTGCTTGGACTGCAGCTCTATAGCTTTTTACGAGACAACGCTAACCAGTGAGGCGACGCTACATGGGATGCTCTCGATCTCTATGGTTTTATCATGTTCCTAAATGACTCTAGTATATATGAACGTGTTCCGCGTTATCTTCATTATGACACAAAGACTTCGCATACGTAGTGCTACGCCTGAATGCGTGGGAGTTGGCACCAGCACTTGGTCGTTGGGAGTGAGCTGCGTACGGAGAGATCCATCCCGTGGTGGACCCCACTCGCCGAATGACTCTAGTACGAGTTAAAAACACAGACTAGTGTTTTGATTGGCATCAATGGTACGAACGATAGCTCTGGACGAGGTGGATGCTTGCGCTCAATGTTCTTGTTCTGCAGTACGTGGCGACACATAACACAGCCAGCCACTTTTCTGCCGCGATGAGCTGGCACGCTCCGAGCGTGGTTCTTGACACGCGAAACGCCTGCGACATGCGCCCCCGCGTCCTTGGTGCAGCTTCTCCGCACTTCGCACGGTCGTTCTCTGTGCTGCAGCCGAGGATCCCACCGACCGGCCCCAAGGACATCTTCTCTCTCTCAAGCAGTGGCCATGCTAAGAAGCCGCGATTTCCTCAACAACCAGTTGCTACTATACTGAACGTTCTCGCAATGAAAAGCTACTCCGTCTTGCTACTGCTAAGGACGATATTGACCCGACATGACACTACCCTGGGAATAATGTGCGTACGAAATGACGTCCGCTCCCAACCAAGGAAGAGGAAGATGATCCTCGAATAGGTGTCCCACCGCGTTCTTGTGGTCAGCGCGTGTCTCTTTGCTGCGTACGCTCGCAGTCCACTTCGATGCATTGGCTAAACGCACGCAACTGGAAGCCGGCAGTACGCTCCCGCGCCGTCGTTTTGCCTCCTGCACACGTTCTACACTGGCCATAGCCTGCGTCGACAGTTTGCTACTCACATGGCATGTCCATTACCGTTCGTTTGACCTGCCATGGCCTCGACCTTGACCCACGTCACGACCCTATGGCCCCAAGTGTGCTGCTCTTGTGATAACGGGCTTGCACGTGCACGATCTGTGCACTTTGCGTCGGCTCCATCAATTGTGAGCAGTGTAGCACCGATACAAATGGCTCATTGCATCGGTTGTACCTTGAAAGTGGCGTGGGATCTGTGCTGTCGGCAGCTTGAAGAGCGTGCATTTATCCAAGGACCGCCCAGAGCCAAGCGCTATCCGGACGTTTATGCGGACAGTCTTATCGCACCACAAAATCCCCATTTTGCATTTTCGCCGGAAATCCATGGACGCGGCGAGCTTGACGGCCAAGATCGCGGACCAGGGCGCCCTCGTCCGCGACCTCAAGGCGAAGAAGGCCTCCAAGGAGGAGGTGATGGCGGCGGTGACGGCGCTCCTCGCGCTCAAGACGACCTTCAAGGAGGTCACGGGCGCCGACTACGTCGACCCAAACGCCAAGCCGGCCGGCGAGAAGAAGCCCAAGGCGGCCGCGCCGACGCCGGTCGAGGACCCGAACAAGAAGAGCAAGAAGGAGCTCAACAAGGAAGCCAAGAAGGCCAAGAAGGCGGCTATCAAGGACGGCGACGTCCCTGCGCCGGCGCCGGTCGCGGTGGCCGCGCCGGTCACGACCACGCCGCTTGCGGTCGCGGCGCCCGTCGCGGGTCCGACGGTCTTTGTGCAGCCGCCGCCGGCTGCCACCGAGACGCACACGATCTACTTTAGCGCGTCGCATTTGCCGCTCATGTCGTTTGTCGTGGCCACGCTCATCAAGAGCGAGCTCGACGTGCACTTCAAGTCGCTCACGCCGCCGCATGCGCTGCCGGTGCTCGTCTTGCCCAACGGCAAGAACATCAACGGCGACGCGGCCATCGCCAAGTACCTCTGCCGCGTGTACCCGGACACGGGCCTCTACGGCGTGGCCAAGGAACCGGTCCTTCTCTCGGAGATTGACGCGTGGGTCGACTATGCGCTTGGCCACATTCGGTCGGCGACGGTCAACACGACCGCGGCCTTCCTCGACGCTGTCCTCGCGGAGCGCACGTTCCTCATTGGCTTTGGCCTCACGCTCGCCGATATCGCCATCTACACGGCGCTGACGCAAGTCCACTACGCGCCCACGGCGACGCTCGCGCACCTTACGCGCTGGTTTACGTACCTCGGTTCGCAGTCGGTGTTTGCGTCGGCCAAGGCGACACTGTCGGCGATCAAGCCGGCGCGTGCGATCACGGGCAAGCCGCCGAAGGAGTCGCTGCCCGAGAGCCAGAAGGGCAAGACGACGGGCAACTGCCCGCCGCTCGAGGGCGCGATTGTCGGCCAGGTTGTCACGCGCTTCCCGCCGGAGCCGAGTGGGTACCTTCACATTGGCCACATCAAGGCGTGCTTGCTCAACGACTATTATGCTCGCGCGTACGAAGGTAGTCACATTGCACTTGTGCCTCTGAGATTGCACTTGCATGATCTCACTTTGCACTTTCTTAGGCAAGCTTATCGTGCGTTTTGACGACACGAACCCGTCCAAGGAGAAGGACGAGTTTGAGCAGGCGATCTTGCAGGATCTGGCGCGCCTCAACGTACGTCCTTGGCCTCGCTTTGTACGTCGCTGAGCATCTCGTGTTTGTAGATCAAGCCCGATGTGGTCACGTACACGTCGGACAGCTTTCCGCAGATCACGGAGCTCGCGCGCCAGCTCATCCGCGAAGGCAACGGCTACATGGACAACACGTCGCAGGAGGTCATGCGCGACGAGCGCATGCACGGCATCGAGTCCAAGTGCCGCAACCAGGACGTGGCCACGAACCTCGACCTCTTTGAGAAGATGCTCCTCGGCGACGCGGCTGCCGACGGCTACTGCCTCCGCGGTATGCCCTCTCTTGTCTCTCGTATCTTGTTATCTTATCGCGATGCTTATAGGCAAGGTCGACATGCAGGCCAAGAACAAGACGCTGCGCGACCCGGTCTTCTTCCGGTCGAACGTACGCCGCTTGTCGAAATCAAGCATTGCAATCTTAGAGCACCTTATTGCTGTAGGCGACGCCGCACCACCGCACGGGCACCAAGTACAAGGCGTACCCGACGTACGACTTTGCGTGCCCGATCGTCGACTCGAACGAAGGCGTGACGCACGCGCTCCGCACGACCGAGTACAACGACCGCGACGCGCAGTATCAATGGGTGCGTCATCGCTGTTCGATGGTTATATTCTAACATTTGCACTGGATAACCCTAGGTCTTGGACGCGCTCCAGCTGCGCAAGGTCCGCATCCACTCGTTTGCGCGCATGAACTTTGTGCACTCGGTGCTCTCGAAGCGCAAGCTGCAGTGGTTTGTCGACCAAGGCGTGGTCGAGGGCTGGTACGACCCGCGCTTCCCGACTGTCCAGGGCGTCCTTCGCCGCGGTGTCACGGTCGAAGCGTTGCGTGAGTTCATCCTCTCGCAGGGCGCGTCGCGCCGCATTGTCGACATGGAGTGGGACAAGTTTTGGACCATCAACAAGCGCGTGATCGACCCGATTGCGCGCCGCTTCTTTGCGATTGACGCGGCGCGCGCTGTGCGCCTCAACGTACACGGGCTGCCGTTCACGGGCGTCCAGGGCCTGCCCACGCCGCTCCACCCGAAGAACCCGGAGCTCGGCCACACGGTCAAGCGCCTCTCGTCGTCGCTTTTGATTGAGCGCGACGATGCCAACAACTTTAGCATTGGCGAAGACGTCACGCTCATGCGCTATGGCAACGTGACGATCACAAGTATCAACAAGAACAGCGACGGCGAGATTGTGTCGGTCGACGCCAAGGACCACCCGGCCGGCGACTTTAAGAAGACGAAGCTCAAGATCACGTGGCTCGCTCAAGTCGACGACATTGTGCCCGCGACCTTGGTCGAGTTTGACCACCTCATTAGCAAGCCCAAGCTCGAAGAGAACGACAACTTTGTCGACCACTTGACGCCGGTGACGCGCGCCGAGATGCACGCGCTTGGCGACCACGGGTTGCGCAACCTCCAGTACGGCGATGTGATCCAGCTCGAACGCCGCGGCTACTTCCGCGTCGACGCGCCGTACGTCAGCAAGGACAAGCCGCTCGTGCTCTTTATGATCCCGGACGGCAAGCAGCGCGCCATGTCGACGCTCTCGACCAACCTCGCCCATCGCTAAGATTAGGATGCGTCATTGCCTTTTTGAATGCCAACCCCGTGCCAGAGCCTTCTGCTTGCCTTTCTCAAAATGGCGGCGCCATCGAGCCTCGAACCCTGGACCATTTGTATTGGATTGGCTCGGACTATGTGGCAGATGCCATGTTTAGCAGCGCCGTGCGACATTCCGTGCCGCAACGACCGGCAACTAATCCCGCCGGCGTGGCAGCCAGAGACGTTGCGGACGATCGTGGAGAGGTGTCGGCTTGACGATGCTTGTTGATCGGGTACCGGCACACTGCTCGTATGCAAGATGCGGTGGCCGATGGAGCAGCTATCGCCAACCAACCATGCCGGGCCACAAGGCGGCGAGGTGCAAGCCCACAGCTCGCGACCTTGAGTCGCCAGTCGCATGAAATGCGGTAGCCAGTGGTGCGGACTTGCCAGCAGCGAGGCCGTTCGTTTCGGCTGGTCGACAAAGAGCGATGGCGGCTGGCGTCGGCCTTGGTTGTCGGCGGCAGGAACCAAAGATTCTGGCTGAAGATGATACCTTTAGAGACAGTCGTCGCTTGCGTCGCTGTGCAATGCCACTGTTTGGTCGCCTCGGCAATAGTCGGATGTTACGACAGGATTAGTCGATGAATCCACCACCGGGATCGAACCAGGTCGACGTGGGTTATTGTGACTCGACCTGAGGCTTCACCCTCTGGCCTCGATAAAGCACTTGCCATTGATTTGGCACTTGCGTCCGTCTCACCCTCGCCCTGGCCACAACCCTGCACAGGGGCCAAGCTCGGACGGGACGAGAGACGTGGACACCTCATCGCTGTTGCCTAGCGCGGTGCAGCGAGTCTACGTTGCTCGACCGAATGACTGTATACAAGGCCCAGCAGTGCGTAGGCCGAATCCTGGGAACCCACTGAGGCGACAACACCATCGTGAGCTTTGTGGCAGCTGATGGCCGCCTGCCAGAGACCCGCGCAGCTACAACTAATCGACAGCTGTTTTTCCAGCGACCGCCATCCGCGCCTTGGCGAGCGCAGAAAGAAGACTCGTATCGAGCGACAGCGCTTGGCGGAAGCGTACTTGAAGTCGAGGCTCGTTGGGTCGCCAAGTCGTTGCTCACTCGCCCAAGCTGCACGTCGCCGGCGAGCCTCAGCGACGACCGCCCAAGGACACGGCAACAAGTAGCCGATTCCGAACGAAATGTCTACAACCCGAGCACGCACCTCTGTTGTCTCTAGTTAGTCGTTGGCGTCAAAGCAGCCAGGAGTGTCGAGTGAGTTGTCGATGGATCTTTCGAATGGCCCGGACCTCCTCGTGGCTCTGGTCGTCAATGCATTCGATTGGCTATTTGGATGGCTTCGAAAATCCCGCGACGCTGATTGGTTGTTCGATATCGGCCAAAAGCGAGAGCGCATTTTCACATTGGCCAGATGACCCGCATGTCGACGTCTGTGGCCCACGCCGTGCTCTTCTCGACCGACCTCTTTCGGAGCGTGGCGCAGTTCCAGACTGGCGCGCCTGCCGCGCTGCGCAAGCCGCTCGCGCATCTCCGCAAGCTTCTCGGGCGCATGCGCTACCGCTGCGGGTACGGTCCGTCTCTCTGGCTCGGCTTGCCGAACGACGAGGCGAGCTGGCTTAATGTCTATGGCCTGCGGGCGCTCATGCTCCTCGCCCGCCACTGCCCCAGCGCGGTCCTGAACGAAGACGTCTTTGACTACATGAGCGGGTGCGGCCATATGGACGCGGTCTGCCTCCTCCACGACTTGAAGGCGCCGTGCACCAAGTACGCGCTGAACGCCGCCGCCGAGCACGGCCACCTCGACGTCGTCAATTTTCTTCACAGCGAGCGAAAAGAAGGCTGCACGACGCATGCGATGGACTACGCCGCCAAGAACGGCCATGTCGACGTCGTGCGCTTCCTCCACGAGCACCGGACCGAAGGGTGCACAATTTACGCGATGGCAGCCGCCGCGTCCCACGGCCACTTGGCGACCGTCATGTATCTGCACGCGAACCGGAGCGAAGGCTGCACGGCCGCGGCTATGGACCTCGCGGCGTGCAACGGCGACGAAGCCATGGTGCGCTTCCTGCACACATACCGGCCCGAAGGCTGCTCGTACGTCGCGCTCGACGGCGCCGCCAAGATCGGGCACCTCGGAACCGTCCGCTTCCTCGACACCCACCGCTCCGAAGGCCGCGTCGCCGACGCCCTTCTCTCGGCCGCGCGCTTTGGCCACACCGATGTGGTCGACTACCTCCTGACGCGCACAGCGTACGTGGACGCTGTCTTGAACGTCGCCGCGCGCAACAACCATGCAAGCCTCGTCACGCACTTGGTCTCGACCTACGCCACGCACGGCTCGCCCAAGGCGTTTATCTGGGCTGCGATGGCCGGCCACACGGACGTCCTGGAGGCGCTCTGGGACTTCGACATGGATGCCTGCCCACTCCTCGCTGCGCGCCGCGCCGCCTCCGAGTTTAAACATGAGCGCACGCTGCAGTGGCTCGACACGTGCTACACGTCATCGCTTGTGCCGTGGACGGGCGTCATCGACCACATTGAGTTTGTCCTTGCGGAAGCCCGCCCGCGTCTCGTCTTTTGAATGCGCTGTTTTGAGTCGTTGTCGAATAATTTATTCTGCTTTTTATTCTGTATGGCCTCTTTCGGCAGGCAGCGATCGTGTGTGGAGCAAGCGCGCTGCAAGCCTTGCAGCTAGCCTTCAGGTGCCCGAGTGCAACCTCGTCCTAGCATACAGCGCATGCAGGTAGCGGCGCTGGCATCGAGGCTAGCTGTGCCACTGCTCCGCGAGCTTGGCAGGATCGCGCGACCCTTGGCAGTTCGAATCCCGCCGGTTCCGCCCTGACGCGCTTGGCCCTTCTCTATCCGGACGTTGAGGCGTCGCAACCGACGTCGAGATCACGCGTTGCGATCTTTTGGCAGTGCCTACTTTGCGATTGTCGTCAACATGGAAGCCATGCAGCCCGAGCATTGGCATGCCGTGTGCACGTACGTCAAGGCGCCGTGTACGGTGCTGGCGCTGCTGGACGCGCTGCCCGCGTGGGCCAAGGGCGACCGCCTCCTGCAGCTCCAAGAGCTGGCAACGCGCGTGCCCATCGCATCGCTGTGGCCCAAGCTCCGAGTGCCGGCACGTGTCTCGCCGCAGCTGCTATCGCTTTACTGCGCGGTCGCACCGCTCTATACCATGGTGTGCGTCGATCACAAGTGTAATGTCAGCGTTGTCCTTGCGCTATCGAAAGCGGCACCGCAAGCCTTGCTGCGCGTCCGCGGCGGCGTCTCCACCACGTGGCGTCCGTCCCTCGAGACGCTGCGTATTGCATCGATCAAGGTTGACAGTGACGACTGCGACGACGACGAAGGCTGTAACGCGATGCTGTCGTTGCCGGCACTGGTGCCGAGACTACGACACCTCACGCACATGCGCCTCGCCAACGGCCTTGGCCACGCCACCGGCGCCTTCTTTGCTGCCCTCGCACACTCGACCACGATCTCGTCACTCTCGCTCTCTTCCTTTGTCTACGCGGCAGCCGATCTGCGGCATCTACACACCTGGGTCGCAGCGTCGGCCGAGTCCTTCTTCGTCGATGACAGCACTTTGCTGTCCGAGCCGGCTACCAGCGAAGCTCTACATGGCCTCTGCAATGCACTTCACGTAGCGCCTACCCTGCGGCACCTCGGTCTTGACGCAGCGTTCGCCGATACGTTCTGCCGGCAGCGACACACGACGCCGCTCGGTCTCACGACATTGCACTTGTCGTCCAAGCAACTCCAGCTGCTACATTTGGCCCCGCGATTGCGAGATGCACCACTTCAGACCCTCCGTGCGACTGGCGCGTATGACGCCCGTCCGCTCTTGCTGCAGCTACGAGCCATGCCGCGCCTCACTCGGTTGCACGTGAGCATGTGCCATTTGGGCGACGCTGGCTGCGCGCGCTTGGCGTCCGCACTGCGCAACGCGACGTCGCTGCGCCACGTCATTTTGACCGGCAACGAGATTTCAGACATTGGCGCGCGCGAGCTCGCGACTGCGCTGCCAACGACTCGGATGGCGCTGCTGGGCCTCGAGATGAACCGCGTGACGATGGTTGGCGCCTTGGCGCTCGTGCAAAAGAGCCATCGAGGTGTCGCCTTGGACTTGTCCTGGAATCTGCTGAGCACAGACGAGCAAGACTATGTGACGTACATGGCAGCGTCGACAACGCGGGCGAAGATTATCTTTCGTTGAGTCGTAGAGTGCTCATGATTTCTTGTGTACCGTGGTTGTGCTAAAGTTATACACACTTCGATCTAGTTTCACAATGTGTCATGTGCTATGTATCAGCTGCTTGTTGTACGACCTCAGCGTTCTCAACCCATGATTCACCAATGGACGCAGAGCCTTGCTTCTGGAGGCTTCGGACTACAAGATGGTAGCTCGAGCTCATGCAAGGCTTTCTATAGCTATTCGTAGAGCACCGATGGCTAGAGTGAGGTGCAATAAGATCTTACTTTGGACTCGTGTCAATCGATAGTAGGTATGAACAGTCGTTGGATAGTATCCAAGCGCGATGCCAATCTCACCGAAGCAGTACACGGCTCATTGTGTACTTGGTTTTGCGCTTAATGCGGGTGTAGTTAGGGTGCGTGGACGGTCCACATAAGCTTTGGCTCGCACGTCTCGCTGCGTGGGCGCACAGGCTGAACTCGCCGTGGGTCGGTGGACATTTGAATGTGAGCTCAACTTTAACATGAAAGAATATGGACTCCATCGCAAGAGTTGAAGAGGTGTACACATTGCAAGAATGAAATGAAAAATAAGGGAAGAGACCGGCGCTGCTAGTTGCAATCGACTAGCTCCTAGACCCATTAGCTCAATGAGCAGCTTTGCAGTCGCGCAGATTATCAATGTACTAGTGACAAATCCACCAAAGGAACGACGTGTGTATCTCGATCTTCCATTTCACTGGCCTTGTTTTTCAAACACTCGACTTGATAACACATAATGTCCTCTATTGTTGCCCATTGACATCATTGAACAAATCTACGCGTCCTGAAGCTTATAGTCGCGCCACTTGCCACTTTCAGGGATGCCGTACATGGACTGGAGCTTCTTATCGATGCGCTCCATGTAGCTGTGTACCGCGAGGTTGACCTTCTCGAGGTCCATCGACACCTTGGCGTCATCCTCCAAGTCGGTCATATGCATCTTCTCGAGCACGCGGGATCGATGCCGCGGCGCCGAGTCCGCAATCGACGATGCGCCACTCGAGTGGAACGACCGGCGCGGCTTGTACTCGGCGTGGGGCACCGGTGGCACGAGGAGGTACGAAGCACTGTGCTGGTCGCGGTGATATTGCTGCTGCAGAGACTCGCGCGGCGCATCCTTGGCATCCAAGAGGTCGTGCTGGATGACTTTGAGCTCGGCTTCGAGCGACTCGTTCTTACGCTGCGTCTCGTGGAGCATGGCGGCGAGTGCGTTGAGCTCGACCTTGTCGACTTCGGCTTCGGAGCAGCGCTGCTGAAACTGCGTGTGGACACTCTGCGCAGCCACCTGAAGCTTCTTGAGCTCCTTCTCGTAGCGGGCGATGACGCTTTTGAGATTGAGCACCGTGTCTTCCTCTTCGAGAAGCGCATGGCGCGCGTTGTTGAGTTGATCTTCCAGTGTCTTGCTTCGGTCCGTCGTTGCGTTGAGTTGCGCCTCGAGGTCCTTGATCAACAGCTTGGACTCGGCGACTGTCGACTCGAGCAACGTCACTTGGTGCTCAGCTTGCTTGCATTCTTGGACGCAGAGCTCGAATTCGCGCACCGTGATACCTAGTAGACACATCGTCGTTGAGTGCACATCGTTCAAAATGCACTTTGGTCTTCAAGTGCAAAGTCAAAGTGCAAAGTCGAAATGAACCGTGAAAAGTCGAAAATAAACGTAAAAAGTACACCCACATGAAAAAGCAAAAATGCATCACGGTACGCAACGTACTGTGGCCGTCGTGGGTCTGGTACATTGCGAGCTTTTGTTTGAGCTCGGCCGTGTTGGCGTTCAGCACTTCGAGCTCCTTGAGTTGGTAATCCTTGTCTTGGACAGCGTTTTGAAGCGCGTAATTCTCCTTCTGGAGCGCATTGCGCTGGAACTGGAGCTGCTCGACCTTCTTCATCCACTCGAGGACTTCCCGGCGAATGCGGTGGACGTCGATCGCCACAGTGTGCGTCATCGCATGCCGCACCGGGCGTAAATCGCACAGAAAGCTCGCATGGCCTTGGAGTACGTTCTGCACGACTTGGACGCCGGTCGGGTCCAGCGTGTGCATGGCCTCGAGCAGCGCCTCGCCGACCGGCGACTGGCCGTACGAGTTGTGGTGTTGGTATCGCTTGGTCAAGCCGCACTGGCTCAGCGTGGCCACCTTGTCGGCAAAGGCAGCGTTTGCATGCAGTCGCTGGACACCGGCCCGCAGCTGCGTCTCGCTCGGCAGAGCAAGGAGCTTGACAACACCGATTTGCTGTGGAAAGACCATCCCGAGGGCTTCGTTGCGGCCGTACGAGTGCGACGCTGTTTGCCGAAGCCGGTTGCAAGCAAAGACCGCCAGCGCCGCCGCGCGAAACCGCACGAGCAGCGACCGCACGGGCGTCGTCGACTGGAAGAGCGATGCAATCGCTTCAATTTCCTTGTGCTGGTTCTCGAGCTGCCGCATGTGATGCGACAGAATTCGCTTTTGCATTTGGAGCTCGGCGATCTGGAGGACCATTGGCCGCACGCTCACAATGAAGAGGTGCGCGATGCTGAGGTACACGGGCGCGTCGGCTTCGAGGCGCGCCAACTGGTGCTCGAGGTGGTGCCGTGACGCTTCGGCGTGCGTCCATTTGTCCGTCGCTTCGGTAAACTGCCGTGTAAGTGCGGCGATTTGACCGTCGTTTTCGCGCAAGAGACACGCGTGTTGCTCTTGAAGCGACTGCATGCTGTTGGTGTGACGGAGCTGGCACGCTTGCATCTCGACGTCCTTCTCGTGCAGCTTGCGCTGCATCTCGGTCTCGATCATGTCGAGCTTCTTGACTGCCTCGAGCTTCTTCTTGACCTCCTTGTTGGCCCGATGGGTCTCTTGGTTGGCCTTGACATGGCACTGGTGCGCTTCTTGGAGCAGAATTTGGAGACTTGCCTCCCAGCTCTGGCGCAAGTCGGCGTACGTCTTGTATTGCAGATCGAGCGTTGGCGTCGTCGACGACGCGTCCTGCCACGGCAGTCGCTGCATGCGGTGGATCTGCTGCAGCGTAAACTGCTCCCACTGCTCGACCTCGCTCGCCATGCGCTCGGTCTTCTGGCACGTAGCCCGACTCCAGAGCAAGAGATCGCGCTTCTCGCGGATCGAGAGGTCGCGGGCCGACTCGGCGACCGCACATGCCTCCTTGTGTCGCTCGACGTCGCGGCAGAGGTCCTTCATCTCGGCTTTGCACTCGCCGAGTTTGTGCGAGAGGATGCTGCATTGGTCGCTCAAGGCGCGCTCGTTCTCTCGACCAGCAATCAGCTGCTTGGACACATGTACAAGGTCGTGTTTGAAGTGGCTCAGCATTGTCCGCAAGTGCTAGCCCCATCATGAGAAAATCATGAAAAATCGACGAGGGGTAGGGGAGGGGTAGGGTACCTGGATTTCGGACGGACATTCGTGCCACGACGCGACCGCCACGTCCACGTCGTCGACACCGAGGCCATCGGCGTCGTTTTCGATCGAGAGAAGGTACAGTCGCATGGCTTCAATCTCTTTTTTCAGCACGTTGGTCGTTTGCCAAATGCCTTGCTTGAGCTGCACCATGTTCCGCTCCTGCTCCTCCCGATCGCGCTGCGCGTGGAGAAGCTTGCCGTGCATGTCCTTGTTGTCGAGTTCAAGCTGGTTGTAGTACGGCACTTTTTCTTCCAGCAGCGTGTTGCGCTCGCGAAGCTCTCGCAGCGTCTCAAGCGCGACCTTGTGCGTATGGTCCCGCGCTGTGAGCGTTTCGAGCTGGTCTTCCACGGCGTGGCACGCGCTCTCCCACTGCCGCCGCTTCTCGACCTCTTTTGTTAATGACTCTTGGGCGGCTTGGAGACTGGCCTCGACCTGCGCGACGCACGCGTTTGCCGAGGCTTGGATCGACGTGCACTGCTCCGTCTTGTGGGCCAGCGACGTCTGCGCATGCGCCAACTCGTCCTGCAGCGTCTGGATCGCGGCATGGAGTCGGATCTGGTGCGACTCGGCCGTCTGGCTCTGGTGCTGACTGCTCTGTTCGCGCAAAACTGCTTGTTCGACGTTGTATTCGAGCGTGTGGACTTGCTCGTGGAGCGCGCGCTGCGCTTCCAACGAACCTCGGAGCTCGGCCTCCAAGCTCTCTTTGACGCGGGCCGCCTTGGTGAGCAAGCCTTTGAGCTGCGTGTTGCGCGTGGTGACGTCGTCGCGCTCGCGCTGGAGTGTCGTCACTAGCTCGTTTGCGTTCTCGAGCTCATTCGCACGTCGTGCAGAGTCGAGGTCCTTGACCTTGGCCCGCTCGTCAAGCAGCGCAACTTGGCTTCGGAGCGACGCCGCTTCGGCGCGCAGGCGGCTGTTGTCATGTTCCAGTCGACGAATGAGCTCGAGTTGCTTGCGCAAGTTGTCGTTGAGCGTCTCGTGATGGCTCTCGGCCAAGCTATGTACAAGGCGCGGCGGCACGTCCGTTGGTGCTGGCGTCGGTGTCGGCGTTGGCGGTCGAATCGCGCTGTGCCGCAGTGGTGCGGCGTCGGACGAGTGCCGCTTGAGCTTTTGGAGAAGCTCCTTTTGCCGCGCGTAGTTTTCGTGCTGCTTGAGAAGCGTCTGCTGGAGCCGCGTGTCGACGTCGGCCTCGTCGTCCATTCTGCAAGTAGCGCCACGACCGCCACTGCGTAATCTTCGATCCGTACTCGACTTCTTCGATTTCAGTGGTATTTAAATGGTTTTAGAGTGTCTGTACTGGATGTTTGTATGCATAATAAAGCATTTGAATTGTATGAATGAGCGCTCACACGATGGCGGTGAGAAAGGCGCGACCTTTGACCAAAAGATCGCGCAAGTCGCACGAAACGACGCCACGTACCCCACCCAGTTTGCAAGTGTAATAACGTAGTTCTTCTTCTTCTTCTTCTACTACCTGCGCAGTTGACCTTGCGCGAGCTATGACTATACAAGTGAGTGCGTTCTCGAGATGGTGTGACCGATTCCGCTCTTGGCAACAACCAAAACGTGAAACACCAGA